GGACACGTTAAACGGTCACGATAGCGAATCGAATGGGAGAGAGAGAAAAGACACGAAACAAATAAACAAAGGAAAAAATGATGTCAACCGTCAAATCATAAAATGAATGAGGCGCGATCGTAGCGCGATCAAAATAAAAAATCAATAAATTCGTCTGTGCGACAAATAAATCGGTTATTTATGAGATACGGGAAACTATGTGACGGATACTAAATACTGGCGCTGTTTGAAATCGAGCGTTCGATGTCATTAGAACGATTCACCTCTAAACCCGAAGAATGTTTTTTTATTCATTCCTTCATTGTCACCGCGGCATTTTTTAGAACGTTAGTGTTGTTGTAGTTCCGCCTCAATAAGAAATTTCACACAAAAGATCAAATATATACGGTAAATTACATCATGAAATTGCCATCTTAGTGAACTTGTTTGCTTTGGCGCTTCGGTTTTGCCCGACATCTCCAATACTTACCGACGATTAACCAAAAAACTGCACCGCTGAAATATCACCAATAAATAAAATGCAAAACACAATCAAAGATTATTGTCGAATTAGAAAGGAAATTGATTAATTTTATTAATTTCATCATGTTTTTCATTGAATTTTAAATACAATACGAATAATAATAATAGATAATATAATAATAATGTTTTGTAAGATGAATGGATAATTTTTTCTTCTTTGTTGTTGTTGTTGTTTTTTCCTCTTTAAATACAATAAATGTTTTGACATATGTTTAAGATACAATAAAATTGCCGATTACACAATTAAACAGTTCGAAATTACATTTTAGTGACCAATAATAAAGATGATACGAATCCTACGAAATTTTATTATTCTCATTTTAGAAGTGTAAATATCCTTACAAAAAAAACTTTTTTTTTGATTAATATTGCTTAATTGACACGATAATTTATTTGCAACAGGGTTTCGTTTATTTATTTATTTCCTTTAAATTTTAATTTTACATTTGTTTCGTTTCGAATCGAAAATAAAAAAAAAGATTTGCTTTAAAAGCTACAATTGAAGACCCTTACAATTTTCATTAAAAAAAAACTTTGAACGAGGCCGGGGTTTTCAGCCACATGATTCACAAAAATCCCATTCATTTCAGTTTCTCCTATCTACAAATCCACTAACAAAAAAAGTATATTGCGAACATAATGTTAATGAACTTAATCGCGTTAAGATATATATGTTACACCCAGCATTTTGGGCGGAGACTTGTTTGATATGATTAATTGATATTATTATTTAATGATCGCAATAAATGTGAAGAAAAACGAGAGAAAAAAACCACATATATTCAAGATAATTCTTACTTTGCTTAGACTTATATGCATTTGCACACAGAACTCATACAGACAAACCACTCTTCGATCTAATCGATATCATTTATCGAGAGGGGAGAAACGATATGCTAAATTACCACAATTACTGATAACGAAAATTAAACGAAACAACTTACAGGAAACTGAGCTGATTCTCGTCAGCAATAACAGCTTACTTGTTCTGCGTGTGTTTGTTCATTTTTTTGGTATACATTAACAATGTCTTCGATCGAATTATTTTTTGGGGCAATAATGTTTTTTTTTTCTTCGAAAAGCTATCAAGATGATATAATTTCTATCCTAATTCAATGACTAATCTACAGTATTTTGTTTTTGGATGAGCGCTTTTCATTGAGAAAGGGATCAATGTCAATTTTTGTAAAGGCATTGAAAACTAAAGTCATCATCGTTCACTGATTTTTTTTTCGTTTTGTTCTCTTCAGTTCATCATCATATTCTAGTTTTAAAAATAGCTCGCGTTTTTAGGCGCTGATTTATTATTGTACTGTGTTTGGATTATTTTTGCGTTTGGGTATATTTTTGTTTTTGGACGCACTGTTCATAAATAAATCAGTTCAAGTTGAACGGATGTGCTTAACGCCCTGGCATTTGCCGATTAGTCTGTTTGTTTTCTATCAGCTCTGGCTTGTACTTGAAGTTTGGCCGTTCTTATCGCACACAAAAATGTGATTCAAGTACAAAAGGAAATTCAAATTATGGATTGCGCCACTCATTTTTTCTTCTTCGAGCATTTCGACAAACCGACACATTATTCATTATCGTTTCGCCTTTAAAATGTTCACTGATAGCAGTTCTTTTTTCTGTGATTCCTTTTCTCAGAACTCAACGAGAGCAATGATTCGCAACTTTTTTTTTTCCACTTATTTATGTAATTACAATTATCTTCATTATTTTACTTGCTTAACTTATGATTTTCATTTTTCTTACTCATTATTGATTCTTATGTTCGGGTTTGTCTTAAAATGTTATAGAAAATATTACGTGCTTCATTTTTTTCAATTTTTTTTTTTTGATTATTTTTATATTGTAAATTGTATAATATGCGAATAAAAAAATGAAATCGCTTTGAGCACAGTGCATCGAAATGATGTCTGTGTTATCCATCCACTCGCAAATAAGTGTTTCTATTTTTTCGGTTGTATTGGCACTTGACATTTTTCATTTGTTCCATTTTCATTTCTCTTGTAAATATAAGGCACTTGTATCAAATATGTATTCAGTATCAGAATTTGTAATCGATCGAATGTTCTCCGTCTTTCGGATCGTCATTTGAAAGAAAAAAACTCCAACATTTCCCAATGGAAATTTATCTTTCGCTCTACTTTGCGAGTTCAACTCAATGTAGCGTATTAACAATTTCAGTCCATTGTTTTTCTTGTTGTTGTTGATGTGACTAAAACAGAGAGCTTAACTGCCGTTTTTCCGACGAAAGAAAAAAAAACAGAAATCATAGTGAACTCAAAAAGACGACAGATCTAGCGAAATACACGACGAAATCATCGAAAACCGCTTAAAAAGCCATAACAATAAGTCTTTTTTAAAACCGAGAAAAAAAATCAAGTCTAAACGCTCACTTGTTGACAATCAATTTTATGTTGTTCGAAAAAACGGCCGAAACACACAAAAAAAATCAGCACAAAGAACTGAGCAAATGAATTGAGCGTGCTATTAAGGTGTGTTTATTGCAGTTTACATATTTGTTGTATTTTTTTAGCATCATTAAATATTTCCAAAGCATCATAGCAGCGAGAGAGGCTTTAAGACGATTCTGTAAACCATTTCGAAAACAATTGTCGTTGATTTTGGCTGTTGTTTTTTTCTCTTCTTTCGAGCAAAAGCCATTGAGAGCTTAAATCTGGGAAATTCCCGCATCACTAATGCCATTTCACCGTAAAAACAACATGTGCAGCATATTTCATGTACAATTTATTTATGCTTTGGAACAAGTGATTGTGTCGTAAAACTGCTTTGTTTGTGTGTGCGTTCGGTCGGTCGGTAAAGAAGAAATACGAATGCAAAGTGCAAAGGAGAAAAAAGAGAAGACACCAAACGGAGGATTTTCAAACCGAGTGATACAAAAATAGCCTCATTTGCAAATGCGCAGAAAATTGGTAACGCACTGGAATTATTTCATGTTAGCCGCCGACACTGCCGTCGATGTGTCATAAAGAAAAAGAACGAATGGTCGGCACGTGTAATGAAAGTCATTGGGAGCACGATTTTACCATTAAAGAAAAAAACAATGTCGGCGAAGGTGTCAAAAAATGGCAACAATTCAGAGACTTTTGATTGAAATGCCAGGCCAAGAGAGAAAGCATGTAATTAACTTGTTTCGTTATGAAACAAATCGTATGCATTTCCACACCCATCCTCTTCTCTCTCACACACACACATCGATTGTAAGCATGGTTCACATGACATTTTCGGCGGTGGTGATAAAATAAGATTAATTGATATGCAATTAAAAGCTATACATTGTCATGCGGTTGTTGTGTTTCAATGCACAGGAAACACATTAAATATTCAATGCTCAATTTCATTTTGGAATTTTTTTCCCTCTTCGACATATTCAAAATTCAAATCGAAAAAACAATATATTTCTTCAACAAGCCACCGATGCCGATTAATTTATTCTCAAACGTGTAATAAAAATTATTATTAATTGATCGTTCAACATCAATTTAATACGTCATTAAAATAATACGACGAATATCGAAATTCAGTAGTCGGAATTTTTTTTTGTTTCGTTCTGTTCCTGTTGGACAGCGCGATGGATGCGTGATTGAATTTTTAAATTATTAATGTGTTAAAAATTACGCGCACCCACCAAACACCAACCGCGACCGCGTACATTTTAATGTGACGATTTAAATTGGACGTTGGTTTTATGTGTGTGTTTCTTTTTTGCTGGGCGGCTTAAATGCCAAAGAGGCTTAGCGGTGAGTGTAAGCACGGCGGCTGGAGAATGGGAAATGAAATCACTATTATGGTGGCATATGTGAGAAAATGATTAGTATAATTGAAAAATGTTCAAATGAACACACACACACATAAGTACACAAGTCTCGAACCGAAGAAAAAAACAAATCCAGTATTTTTTTGATGAATATCAAACCGACAACACCTTGGTCGTCTAATTGTCTATCAAAGACGAAACGATTTTAAAGTCAGGAACGTAGAAATGAACGAATGTAATACGCACAGAAGCAATTATCATTGTGGCGAACTGTAATTATGTCGCGCGCACAACCAAACTTCAGCATTTACACAGTGTTCGGGGTGCTCGTCGTCAAAATCATTTATTTTTCTGTGACGTCTCTCTCGCGCTCCCTACCTTCTCTCTCTCTCTCTTAGCTATTTTGACGCTCGAAATGAATGGAATTATTAATAATTGATGGTTCGCGCCTAATGAGCGTGCGAGAATTATTTTCAAAAGATACACATTTTTCTCCTCTATCTCGACCTATTCTCGTCCATTGGTTTTTTTTTTTGGTTTCGGTCGTCTTCTTTCTCAATTGATTCTCGGTGTTTTTATGACTTTTTAATTTTCTCGGAAACGGAAATCAACGATGAAATCACGTTTTCCCGCTTGTGTTGTCAATCCACAATATTCATGTGATTTTTAAGGCAATTAAAACGGAAGAAAATTATGGGGTTATCGTATGAAAATTGGGTGATTGTTTATTGGAAAAGCAGTCAGTGAAGCGCTCTAATTTAACCTTTTTTTGTCTTCATTTTTCTTGTTCTTAGAAATCCTTTTAAAAATTTATCGTTTATTTTTTTTTATCACAAATAAGAAATTTCGTATTTTTTATGGCCAAAAAATGTGAAAATATAAAAGAAAATGCTTCATTCTCATTTACACATGCAGAGAAGATGAACAAAAAATCGTTTTCGAAAACAAAACGATCAACTAGATTTGAGCTTACAAACTACGTGTTTTTTAAAAAAATGTGTATAACTTGATTGAATTTACCGCACGATGAGGTCTCGTTGTGAGCGATCAAACTGCTGGCTGGCTTCATCGTCTTCGTGTGACCATTTCTCGAGAATTTGCCGACGGGGTATAATGTATTTGGTTGGCGGTGTTGTTGATACAGTTGTTTCGGTATTTGTGGTTTCGGTGCTGCTGCTGGATATTGGTGATGCCGTAAAATCATCGGAGAACGATGCTACCGTCGGTGCGGGCGATGCCAGTTTTGTTTGACAATTTGAATCACTGCAATTGCAGTCGCTGAATGTTGACGAGGCGCTATCATAACCAGATACTGGCGAACCATGATTTGACCAGTACGATGAATGTGTTTGCGGTTGAGTGTTTACGATTGGTGACTGAAATGGCGTTATCGTTGTGGGGCTACTGTTTCCATACAGTGAATTACTCCAAATGATCGGGTCACGTTGTTGTGTTTGTTCATCCGATTTTGAGCACTTTTTTCCGTCATTTTCGTCGTCGTCTTCGTCATCGCTCGACATCAAATACGGTTTGAATAGCTTGACAACTTTGGCGGGTGTTGGACTAGATGCGGATTTTTCATGTAATTTACTTTGTTCGCCATTAACACTGATCCCTTCGTCGATGTCATCGTCCACTTTACGTTTGCGTGTACATCTCAAATCCCATGGTTTGTGTTCAGCCGTGCTGCTGCCATCGGAATGTGGAATTTCGAGTGCTTTGTACGCTGCTTTGACCGGAGGTGATGGCAACGAGAAGCGTGGTTTATACGACCGACTCGATTCGATGAGTGTTTGACGGCCGGGCACGGTTAGATCGATCGGTGATTGTGGTCGTTCGGGTAATTCATCGACGACATTTGGTATGGTTTCGATTTCAGTGATGATTTCCGTTTTTGGTACAATACGTTCGGGCATCATGGCTGTGGGCACAGCAATCGGTGGCAAATACGATGGATACAATTCGTACGCATTGTGATGGTCGTAGAAGCCGTTTTGGTGTGGCAAATGGAATGGATTTTCAAAAGCCGACGGCATTACTCTTGAAGCAAATGTTGCCACTTGCAATGCATCATGATGCGGTGTACCTAAATAGTGTCTAATTGATGGGATCATACCGATTGGTGGTGGTGGTGGCACGGAATCGTAGAGCATCGGATTAATTTCATGGAAGGCAGCAGCGACGGCGGCTGCCGACCGTGGATGATGATAAGTGGCCGGGTAATGGGTTGGGTGGAATGCGGCTTTAGCGGCATCGATCATTGGAATTCCGTTCGGTGCATGCGATGCATTCGCTTGTGGGGACGGCAACAAATACGACGGTGAAACGATGCGCAATGGTTGTCGCTGAGATGCATAGGAAACGGTCGATTCATTTGATGAATGCGGCATCGGGCGAGCAACAAACGACGGCGCTAACGCTGGTGAAGTGGATGTACTTGAAACGGGAAAACTGGTATTTGTGGTCGGTGCTGCTGCATTCGTTGCGCACTTGTATTCGCCATAGCATTCGCTGTAGTTGCCTGTTGTCTTTGTCTTTGTCATTGTGTGTTCAGCGTTGCCGCTATTACTGTTACTGTTGTTATGAATTCGTGCATTTGCAGCGACGCTATGTCTAGGTATATCCAAGGACATTGCGTTGATTTCATTTGCATTGTGTTTTTGCTGGTGGTGGTGTTGCTGCTGCTGTTGCTGTTGCTGGTGATGGCTGTTGAAATGGAAGTTGGTTGTGGGGCTGCCAGACATAGTTGATTGATTTAGTATTGATTTATTTGTGGCTGATGCATTTTCATGGATTAAACGCTTCGCGCTGACATTGTCAACACCGGATAATGATAAATTATTCACCGTCGTCCGGCCATTTAGCACAGCGCCTCCTCCATTCATTGCTGCTACCGCTGCTGTCTGCATGGCGCTCATTTTGTTCGCATTACTGTGGCTGCTGGTATTGTTGTTGTTCTGATTATTTTGCAAATCGCTGTTGTTATTATTATTAACGCTCGATCGCAAATTCGTTTCATTTTGCAGCCACTTTTGGATTTGACGCCGATGAATGCCATATTTGCGAGCGGTGGCCCGTTGATTTCCCTTGCAATCGGCGTCCATGCGATATGAATCGAGTACGGTGAGCTTAAATTGAGCAGAAAATATGCGGCGGGAGCCCATTTTTGTTGTGGTTATCGGATGCTGCGGTTGCTTTTGTGGTGTGTGATTATGTTGTGCTGACGATGCCATGGTTGCAATGTTTGCGACAGTTACTAGTGGCGTTTTAATTAAATTATTACAGTTTGTTGACATCGTTTGTGTGTTGCTGGTTCTTTTTTCGTATTTCGATCTGGTCAATGTCTGTTTCGTCTAGCTGCGGACTTCTATCGTATTTTTCTATTTTTTCGTCGTCGTCGTTCAAATTGAAATAAATTGTTGTGTTTATTCACTGGACGATTTTTATCACATTACAGTTTTAATCATCTGTCGGCGCTTTATTATTTTTCAACACTTTTTTCTCTCTCTCTATCCCGCACTTTCAATGGAGTTAGTGTTTTATCTATCTAATATAATGTAGATTTAATCGCTTTCATTTAGTTTTAAATGTTTTCCATGTGTATTTAATTAAAGGCAAATATGTCCACTCTGTTTATAGTGTTTTGATTAAAGCGAGTGTGTGTATGTTTCTGTTTCGTTCAAATGGCGATTATCGTATACGTGAGCAATTCTAAGTGGCGTATTATGGAATAAATCACGTACAGCACTTTCGTTGTGTTATATATATCATTCTTTTCATAAGTTGACAACGCCGTGGTGCCGAATTCGTGTAAACAAATACCGATTTTTTTTATTGTTGCTGTTGTTGTCGTTGATTTCACACTAGAAAAGTCAACTTTATTTTAACTGGTTTGTGTGTCGCGCGAGCGTATGGTGCTTTTTTTTTTGTTACTGCTTGCGAAAAAAATGTTTTACTTGGAATCGACCGCACATTCTATTTTAGCATCGAACGGCAGTTGAGTGTTTTTTTCATCATTCTTTGCGATTGTTGCTTGGACCTGCTTGTACACTTTGTAGTCAACACACTCATTGATCAGATTGGCGCACAGTGAACAACACGCAGCAGGCGTTTAGCAGAAATTATTTCACAAAAAAAGTCAATGACGACAATTTTTCGTCGTATTAAATCGTTTCCAGGTCTTTGCCATTTATTTCGTTTATATATAGGTATTTTTTTTATCGTGTCGCTGTTGTTGTTGTTATTCGTAAATGAAAGAACTCCAATTTAATCAGTTGCACAATGTTTACAGAAAGAAAAAAAAGACCGCTGGCGATTTTATGAGGTTCGGAATTTTGTTTGATTTTGAATGGTCTGAATTTTTGTTCGAATTGTCAGCTTCACGCAGCGTGTGTGTCTGCTGTCTCTCGTTTGTGAATGAAAACTTTACTTTTGGTTCACACACAAACACATTGACTGGATTATTCTCATTTTTTGCTTCACCAATCATTTACTATTTTCGTTTCTGCACTTTGTATTTGCACAGAAAATGTTCGAATCCAACGTACAAATTATTCATCAAAGTTCGTATATTTAAAAAAAACGGCAAAGCACTTCTTTTTAAATGATTATTTTATTTCTATAAAAAAAATAAAGTTTGTATTTATTTTTATCCCCTTTAGTATTTAATTTAAACTTGATAATTTTGATTTGAAGGCAAACTTTACGCTTGATTTATTTTCGTCGAACAAAGGCGTGAAAGAAAAAAACGAACGAAAAATTACTTTGAAAAAATTGCGAAATGATATTAGCTACTTGAACTTGTTAAAACTCAAACTGAAATGTTTCAACAGAAGAAAAATCGTCTAAATTTCACGACGAGACTGATGAGCGGTGTTGCTGTGTATCGGATCTCATTCTAAATTATGACTAAACTGTGTTATAATCGTTTCGCTTAAGTTTGGTTCGGCGGCGGCGTTTCTACACTTCATACACACACAAACACGCACGAACACAACATGCATACACAAGTCATTCGTCGTCATCGCGCGTCCGATCCGGTCCACCCAGTCGATGTATTGGTGCAAGTAGAAGCCAGAGAGACCCGGGGCCGCTTCGTTTACGGCAAACACAGACTCTTAGGCATTGTATATGCGGGAGCGGTGTGTCGCACATATATATATGTATGAACACGCTTACTTTTTTTCACACATAGCTATGCATTCGGCTATATATCTATACATGTACCGAGCATACGGCTATGGAAGTATGATGAAGACAAAGAGTGTCGAGCAATATAATATGTGAATGGGCGCACCGTACTGTGTGAATGCAACTCACAGACACTTCACAATTTTTTTTCTCAGTGCTTTAGCTGCTGTAAAACACACTCACACTTGTTATTCCAACGAACGAACAAACGGATCATTTTTCTCTCTCGTTACTTTTTCATTCGTCTTTTTTTCGGTTAGGTGTCACTTTTTTTCCCTCTCTCTTGCTCGGTCTTGCACACAGCATGCATAGGCACACACAACATTCCGATTCTTGTTTTTTTCCATCGTGCATTCCGCTTCAATATTTATATGCAAGGGCATATACACATACTGTGTTCTTGATAAAGCACCTCGTTGCAATCGCGCGGGTTCGCTCACTCACTCACTCACTCACAGCTCAAAATCAAGCGATTTTCCATTTGAATTTGAAATTGTTCGTTCAGGCGCTGCATCGTCGTGTATCGCATTGAAACCGAAGTCTGCCTGCCTGCCTGCGAACGCAGTTGGACCTAACCGAGAGTCGACGCTGATTTTTGTGTGAGTGCATAGCAAATTCAGAATGTGGCGATCGAATGTCTCGCAATATCCACTTCACTTCGTTGAAGTGCTCGCTTTTTTCCTCTCTCACTCTTCCTCGATTTTTTTTCCATTTCATTCGTTTTTCGACCGAGGTTCATGTGTATTTAATCACTGTTTCCTTCGGCTGTAGCAAGCACTTTATGCTTCGTTTTTCTCTTCTTTTTCTCTCGTTCTCTCTTGTTGAAATCGCACACAATTGCATCTCACTGTTTGAATGTGTATGCATGAAGGGACATCCAATGAGTTCGGTGCTTGTCTGCGTTTGGATGCATTGGCATTTTTTTCTACTCATCGCACAACAGCATACGTGATACGAACGAGACAGACACCAAGTCACCACCGCCAAATGGAATTAAATGAAAATAATTCTCAACTGGTCTCTTCGAATCATATGTATACAGTAAACGCCGCTTAACGCTTTTTTGTTGTTGTTGTTGTTCACGCTCAACCAGCGACACATACTACGTACAGGAATAAAAAAAGAGAGAGAAACAAATAAATCTGTGCGCTGTACTGTCGAATCTCTGTGTGTGTTTTTTTCTTCAATATGTTTGGTCATTGTTGTTACTTATAATGCCTTTTCAGCGACAGATAAACATTAATTCAACGAAGAAAGAAACAACACTGCGTTTTTATATTCAACCGAATGATCGATTTCGGACGCCATTAATCTTTATTCCTATCTCATTCGTGCACACTCACATCACATGAATTTCCTGTCTCGCTCATCTCACGTACGCACACATTGCTCCTGATATGTGTATGCATCGAATGTTGTCGTTTGGAGGTTCAGTTTTTTTTCTCTTCTTCTGCTTCTTCTCTTTGCGTCTTCTGTATAGTATTCAATCCGTTGGGTATTCGTAGAACTCGTGGTGTAATTGAAAATGCGTGTTTTCAGACAATGCGTCTTGATCTCAGTTCTTTTATCATTTTATTGCTAACATTTGTCTTGAGATTTTTGTCTTTTCTTCATCAGAGACACCGAGGGAGAGAGGAAGGGATAATCAAAACCGAGATGGAAGAGCTTCAATCAATGGATCTGAAATGATGGTTTTTTTCAACACTTCTAGAGAAAAATGGGGAATGAATTCAACATCGAAATTGATACGTTATTCTTATACATTTGATATGCAGTATATTTGCATTTTTCGGAATCGAAAATTGCCATTCAAATAAGCGTAACGCTTTTCTTTGTGTGTTTGGTGATTTCAGAACTGAGCAATGTCCGTCCGTTTTATTCAGATGCTAGTTTGTACTAGTCAGCGTGGTCGGTATATTCAATGGAAATTTCAGCGTCGTGTTGAGCATCACGATTCAATTAACTGAGTCAAAAAAAAATTGTGTGTTTCCATCTCTTTCTCTCTCTTTCGCTGTGTTTAGGTGTCCGAGCCCAACCAAACGAGCACTCTCGTTCGTTTGTGGTTGTGTGTGCTTCTTCAGCACAATGCCCGCGAAAATATCAGAACACTAAAGATGCTGTGCGCTGCTGTCGAACGATCAATTGACGCAAAAAATTTGCGTTTGAAACGGAAATTCACGTGCGCGCAACTTTATTCCGAATCACGTTCTCTCGTCGCAAATGCCTAAATTCACTTCAATTAAAGCATGTATAAACTCTACATGGAACGCATTTTAGTGGCTCTATCGGCAGCTTAGCTAATCTTTCCAAATATATACATACTGAAAACGATTATGTTAATACAATGTAAGTGGGCTGCCGTCATTGTGCACGGTTCTCGTCTTCTGTTTGCTTGCACAAAATCGTGTGAAGCGTGTATGTGTGTGATGTACATATTATTTTTTTATCTCAACTCAGCCTAATCGTAATAGGCCTACGTGTACTCTCTTGTCTCCCTCTGCCGTTTTCATTCCCGAATCGATTTTGATTTTTATTTATTTGTTGGCCGTTTCGTTTGTGCGTTCGTTCGTTTGGTTCGCTTTAGTCGAGCAGATAAACGACTTTTGTGTGTTTCCAACGAATCTGTAGAACGAGATCAGGCAACGCCTACAGAAATACAGTAGAAGCGACAACAACAAGTTTTTTCCATCGCCAAGCATCACAGATTGATTGCTTCTCTCACTCTTTCGCTGTGTTTCGCATTCGTTTCTGTTTATCGAATGAATCCTCTCTTTGATGCGCCTCGTTCCTTTTCGTCTCGTTCACTCTTTCGATTTCGTTGTTGTTGTTGGGTTTTTTGTGTTATTATTTTCGCTCTTTTCGACGATATAAGCATCATCAAGCTAAACGAGATGAGGAAAAAAAATAGGTTTCGTGGAAAAGGAGAAGAAGATGATGATAAAAAAATCGATGTTCACACAAAATTTGTTCATTTCGAATCGTTGTGCGCATCGAAGAATGATCCGTTGAAAGAAGAGCCAACGAAAATATTTCATGAACATCCGTTTTCAAGCACATCGTGCTCGAGAGCAATTCAGCGAAAAGAAAGAGATGAAGATTCATCGTTATTTCTATTCTTTATGTGCTTCGTTTTCGTTCAAACGATGCATTTTACATGTAAACCAATAAATAAACCAAACGAGTTTTTCTTTTCATCGTTTAGGTGCGCTTGGTACTTCAGCATCTGTGAATGTTTCAGATCAAACGATTTTGAACAACTCAAATGATAGCCACTCTGACGACGACAACGCTGCCACCGCCACCATGGTATATATATAAATATTACACGAAAATGAGCGACAAACACGTCGAAATGTATGAAAAATGAAATAATATACAAATTTACATTGGAAAATTCCTGAAGCTTTCATACTGGCCAATAGAAAATGTTTCTAAAATAGTTTATACATCCTATGCAATTGTATATTTTTCGTATAATTTTGTACATTATCATGCGACAAGTATGGCGCTTTAGCAAAAAAAAATATATTGCATAAGTAAACGTGGGGAGCGAAAAAAAAACGTATTGAAAAGAAGTTAGTCGAGTATTCGTTCCATCTAACAAGTATCATCGTTATATTTAACATACGCAAAGCGCACACAAGCCCATCAGTCTTTTTTTCTATCTCTATCTTTCTCTCTCTGGTTTGATTCAAAACCCGTTCGGTCTGAGAGACTGAGCATAACTACACGCGCATCTGTGTGATCGGTCGGGGTTCGGATTTTGTTCGGCAATCTGCAGCCGCCTGTTCACATTCAATACGTGTACGTTTGTATGATTCTTGATGGAAATCAAGTCGAAGTGAACGATCAAAATACACTTTACACACGTTTGCTTCTCGTAGGCGCTATGGATGCATTGCTATGTATTCGTCGTTGCTTTTGCTTTTCTTTATGTAGTTGAGCCGGGGCATTGGTGTCCGTGTGCGCTGTGTCGGCCGTTGTATGGGTAATCTCTGAAATGACTGCGCTCGCTTCGGCATACCGAGAACGAAGAAGAGAAATGAAAAATTGTCAACAGCGTGCGCAAACTGAATAGGCAAAATAACGACAACTGCGACGGCGATGGCAGCAGCAGCAGCAGCAACAATCACTAACTAAGCCATCGCCCGCATACATACACGCCGTTCGATTGCCAAACTCATATATACTCACACCTCTGTGTCTGTGTGTGTTTGTGATCACGGTAGACATGGCAGACATCGTGTCGCCAGGCTTGCTTGCATGAGACATGACGACGTCAACTAGCTTATTCGTTTTTATTGTTGTTGTTGTTGCTTTTCTCTTTGATTTTTCCCCCTTTCAGTTGTTTTTGTGTTGTTCGATTGAATTTTCGTACTTAAAACATAATATTACATGAAAAGTTTACTGGTATGCAGTCACACTTTTTTTATCATTTGCTGATCGTTCCGAATGGCCTCTAAATTCAATGCATAGCAACGCCAAATTCAATTTGCACACAACCACTTTTCTTGAACTCTCCGCACTATATGTGCTTTTCAGGTGCTATCTGTTCACCTTGAGCGAGTGTACTAAGTGAAAATTTGTCACTCATTTTTTTTCGCTTCAATATTTAGATCATAAATACATATATTGAAAATGGTTCATATCGAAGAAACCCTTCAAAGATAAATAATGTTTTTTTCTCTGTATCGTTCTCATAGTTAAGTTGCACTAATATATTTTCGAAAGAAAATGAAAATTACATGCTATAGAACTTCGCATCTTTCATTTCACTATTTTGTGACATTCGCAATTTGCACCTATTTTCCTATTTCTAATGCTTCGAACATGGATTCAAGAAGCCATTGAAATAATGGACGAATTTTATGTCGGCCATAATCAAGCGACACTTTGCACATTTCAAATTACATGCTATATATGGCTTATCCTCGCATCTCTACCCTCTATGAATTGTTGTGAAATTTAAAACCATTGAACCACGTTCTTGCCACGCTCTTCCTATTTGCTCTACCTTCGTGTTCCCTCCCATCACTTTTGAACCGAAATAAAATAATGCATTATTTTATTATTCACAATAAAAAAACACAGAGAGCGAAATAGATTATTTTCTTCTATATTTCATTCCGTTTTCCTCACTCGCTCTATCCCTCAATTGTTCCGCCTGGATCAGGTTATATTGTAGTGTGTCGGGCGCAAGTGTAGTGTGCTGCGCACATGTGCATGTCCCATTGTATTCGTTGGGTCGGTTGTTTTCTTTATTTTATACTTTTTTTATTATAGATTTCATATGTTTCGTTTGCAGTTCAGGAA